TGGGCAAGAATAAATTTGGGATTCCCAAAAGGTGGCTTCCAGCCCGAAAATACTTGTATCACTACTGCGGCTAAAAAAAGCCATTTTCTCTCAGTAGTGGGGCTGTGGCAACAGAAACTTCCGCATCCGTTATGCCCATTTTTGTGTAATTCCACCGTTATTCTTGTTCAAAAGACAACGAAAATGAAAATTTCCACCATCTTGATAGCTTACAATTGCTCCTCATCTGAATTCTGACGGTTGAGTCGCATTCGAGTCTCGACGGCTGCCGCCAACTGACGGAAATTGGCCTCCACTCGAACCATCTTGTTCTTGCAGCATTTGATCGCAATGAAGACGACACAAATGAGAGCGAAAAGTGAGAAGGCCACAATTAACGCAGTCTCCGGGCTGTTTTGTAGTTGGACAATCTGGAGGCCATCAGCGGCTAATGAACATTCGGAATCGAGCCGGAAGGATGCAACGGGTAGATGAGACGCGCAGATGGTCCAAGGGGGGAAGAAAAAGATGATTAAGGGCTTGCACTACCGACAAGAGAAAAATCATTTCGAGCGACGGATAAAAGGCCAGTCGGCCGAACTTATTGAGGAAGGGCGATAAATACGACCTAGTTCATTTTCCTACACAAAAAACTTCCATTATGCTTTAACAACAACGTCTGTGTTCGTCACAGGTTGGCCTAGGATAGACAGAGGTGAAAGGGACATGTGTCTACACAAATCAAAAGTCGAGATATGATTTGTTCTGTTTGGTCAAAACCTCCATGAATAGGTTGCCTGGTGGACACAGTGCCTCTCCATCCACGAGTGAGGCTCATCGTTGCCTAGTCAGCCGCGCCGAAAATGCCTAAGAGCTTAGTTATCCCAAGTTCTTGTTCATGAATTACTGATAGCCTCGAAAACTATTCATATAAAAAATAAGTAACTTCGTCGATTGCAATGGCAAACACAAGTTTGCTCGACATTCGATAATCCCACTAAACATGTTGTTTGTGTGGTGCCTCATTTGCCGGGATTGTCACATTTGCTCTTTGACCTATTTGCACACGTGACTGTTCAGTGGAGGTGCGACGCAGCCAAGCATGTACCAAT